TATATAATATAAGTCTTTGCAATCAGAAATTAATAAATAAGAAGCAGAGCGGGATATATTTGATAATAAGTACACTGAAAACGGAATAAAACGTTTTCAAGATTATACATAATTGTAGGGTGAGTTTAATTTTAAAGTTTAAGAAACCAAGTCGAAATATTATTAATAAAATGGTTTTAAATATTGATAAATTAATTACATATGTACTTGTACTGCGTACAGGCATAAGAATATTTGGGTTTTGTACAATACTTTAATTATTCCGGTGAGTAGTGAGAAAAAATATTAAAATCATATATAGTATAAAGGAATTAAATAAATACTATTAAGAAATCGACTAAACCCAATAACAACAAGTAAAAACGTTGCAGTCGGGCGGTCCCGACTGCGGAATACTCATTCACATCCCATCAGCAATATGGCAGTTAAGTTTAGCTCTACTTTAGAAAATTCAGTTTTTCCCGATTTTTCACGCCCCTAATGGGCGTAGACACATCATTTTTGGTCAGTTCTTAGAACGAGCTAACAGTAACCTAATTACAAAATTTGAATGCTTACGCATTGATCCGCCGAAAAAATTGCGTTCATACGGACGAACGGACAGACAGACAGACGGTCGGACAAGACGGACCTTGCACAAAACCAATATACCAATACATATACACAATATACCAATATAATTCACTTTCGTGAATGAGTGAAGGTGCTGAAATGGAGTTTTTCGAACATCTTAAAAGAACACATACAAGCTTACGGTCGCTGTTTGTTTGGAAGTGAATCAATATCTTGGATATACATTTTAAGAAATGCTTGACTAATTTGTAGTATCTTATCTGACAAAGAATTGCAATTCGCGCTAATCTAAAAATATATATATTATACTTTTAGATCTTAAAACCTACACTTTAAATTCTTTTTATTGTTTAACATCATACAATACTTAGGAAATTATTGTATATAGTTTGGAACGGAATCGGAAGATATATTAAATAATAATAGTAATAATTAAAAATCTGGTTATTACTTATTCTAGATTACTTCCGAAAGTGCACATAAAATAAGCATGTATAAAAATTATTTTGTTTGTGTTATTGTTACTAACCATCATTATCATCATGCTTAATTTTTTTGTTATTAGATTCATTTTCTGTCGCGTCCGGAGTCGTTGGAGGTTTTTCACTTAATTTTAAGCTTGCTGCCAAAGGATTCGAATTAGTTGCTCCATCAGATGTGTTATTACAAACGCTTCCATCGACATTTATCTTTAATTGTCATTTAATTAATTCCACGGACAGAAACTTTCTCAATCGTTCGTAGTATTGCGGGTGTAGTTCAACATCATTATGGCCAGCTCCCTGAAATAAACATATCAGTTCGAAGTAAATAACAAAGCAATATGTTAAACAAGTAATCACACTTTAAAAAGTAACCTGAAGTTTTGATATTCGAGTACGTTCATTCTTGAATAGGTTTTTAAATAGCACAGATTTCTATTTTGTACAGGCATATTTAATATTTTGTTGCATTTATTGGAATTATTAAAACTAAAAATTATAAAATTGATATATATAAACAATTCTCAAAAATTTATAAACAATGACCAATAAAAAATAAAATAATTTCATATATTCATCAAGAGCACGGGAGC